ATTTTCCTTCATGTGTTTAAAAATTTCTTTTCCAGGGACAGCCAGGTGGCGCAGTGGATACAGCACCAGCCCTGGATTCAGGAGGACCTGAGTTCAACTCCGACCTCAGACACATAACACTTACTAGCTGTGCGACCCTGGGCAAGTCACTTAATCCCATTGCTTAGTCAAAAAAAATTCTTTTCCAAGTTATTTTTCTCTTTTGATGTAAAAGGATTATATTCCTTCAGTTATTTTAATTTTTTAAGGGGGTTCAATTCTCACTGGCTCTCTTACCCTCACCCTTTGATTCCCTCTTCTCATTTGTTACTCCTTTCTTTTTAGGGTTTTTAGTTGCTTTTTTCTCTTGCTTTTATTTGGTTATATCTTTTTTCCTACTCTTTTTCCCTTTCCATTAGTCATATAGATGCCACCTTCTTCTACTCCCCTTCAGCTACTCCTGTTCATTAGTTTTTAAAATTTCATTTTTTGTCCCCCTGTCCAAAAAGGATTTCAGGTCTTTGCCCCAAGTGACTTTTTCTTGGTCAGAATGGACTCCTGCTGGATGCCGTGCTCTTTCCCTCAGGAATGGTGTATGTCTCTCCCCTCCCCCCTCCTTCCCCCACAAGGTATCCTGTCCTGGTGTCCCGTCCCACTCTCTTAGTTCTCTGGCCCTGCACCAGCAGTTCAGAGTTGTGTAGCACTGGTGCTTCTGAGTTAAAGCACCTGGCAGGCTTTTGCTCCTAAAGGGCTGTGGCCAAGGGCTCTGGCTGTTGTGACTGCTTTGAAGCCTGGAGCCAAGTTCTTCACGGTGATGGAAGGAGGGAGACGGAGTATTGCTGTAAGCTTGTCGTGTCCTTGGGTCTGCTGAAGGGGGAGGGCAGAGTTCGCTCAGGCTCAGTAAGCATCACTTTGGGGGCTTGGTTTTTTTTTAACCATCTTTTGGATTTTGGGTGTCCCAGAACACGGAGACAGCTGCAATTGCTTTGCCTTTGGTGCACAATTTCTGTTTTGGAGATATTTGATAGGTCATGGCGATCAGAGAAAATGTCCAGATCTCCATGTTGTTGCTCACATGACCTGGGGGAGACTAAATTTTAATGAAAAGTTGTCTTTGTTTTTTTCTTTAAGGAAGCTGACTGTACTTGAAGATGAAGATGATTAATTATTCTTTGTGAGGTGTTGTCAAAGGCCAGACAGCTAGTGACGAGGCCTGGATTCTCCAACGTTGCCAAAGAAGATAAGACCTCCCAAGTCATGCTGTAAGTAAGGGCCACAGAACAGCCAATGGTCTTGGCACATGTGGACGATATATGAGTTATGGGAACGAAGTCCTAGAAGCTAAATTGAAGTTGCTAGGCAGGGGATTAAAGGCCTGGCCTTCCAGCAAAGATCTTAATTAAATCATGTTGTTTCCATGAATAAGACCTTGATAGGCTGCCGACTGAGTTCCAGTTAGGAAAAAGGAGGACTTCTGAATCTTGAAGGAGGTATCTTTAGAACAATAAAATGAAATACTTTTTCTACCCAGCAGGTAGAATGTGGATTTCCCTAAGAAGCTGTGGCAGTGGAGAATATAAATTGGTTCAAGATAAACTCCTCAATGACAGAGGGTTTTGGGTTTTATGCAGGAGACGTAGTTCAGGCTCTTTGAATATCATCAAGGGACAAGATATCCTCATTTTCTAAGAGAAAGTAAATTCTTATTTTTTTCTTATTTTTGTAAAAGGGAAAGTAAATTTTACCCCTAATTTTTACAAAGGAAGAGAATTTCAGTGAATGGAGGCGGGCACAGGCTCACCACTTGTAACATATCATAATACTGCCTCAAGAGAATCAACAGCTACAGAGGAGCTAGCTGAAGAACAAAGTTAGTTTTCAAAGGTTGGAGAAAAAGATTTGCAAATGTCAGATCCACTCTACAAAATTTATCACCCCTGGCATTATCTTTTTAAATGGATGTGGGCTTTGAGAAGAAGCCTAGGGCATCCAAAATGGAGCCAATTAGCACCTCTGAAGAACACCCACAGGCAAAATGCTGTCACTTCCCACTGACCTAAGGGCCCAGAACTAAAGTTGGGATGAGAAGTGTTCAACCTTTGATAGCACTTTCTCAACTACTGCATGTTTATTTTTGACTTAAAAGGCATTTCTGTTTTAATGGATTGTAGATTTTTAATTGTGAAACCCACACCTCCAACTTCACCCAGTTCCCTTTCATTTCGAATGTTATTTTAAAACCACAAAGGCAAAAATCTCCCTTACTGTGTTTAATAAATATAAGATTTTTCTGTTTTTAATGCTATTGTACGAGGCAGGTGGATTAACATTACAGTTTCTTTTTGATTTAGGGTTTTTTTCTGAGAATTTTAAGTTCTTTTTAAAGCCAGCTTTTTAATTTTTTTTTACAATTTATTTTCTTTATTATTATTATTTTTAAATTCATACTTTATTTTTAACATTTAAAAAAATTTGAGTTCCAAATTCTCTCCCTCTCTCTTGCCCCTCTCTTACCTACTGGGAAGGCAAACATACGTCTGAAATCATGCAAAACATATTTCCATATTAGCCATATTGCAAAAAAAAAAAAAAGCAAGAAAAAAGTGAGAAAATTACACTTCACATTGCAAAATCCAAACTCTGGGAATACCCTTCCTCCTCTCCTGCTCTCCCACTTTGCCTCTAACCTTTCTTCCTTCCTGTCCAAATAACCCATGGTAGTGGTAGAAGGCAAAGTTCAGATCTTTAGTTTCCCAATATCATGGTTTTATTCCCTTGGTGATCTTCCAGCTCCAGAGGCCACATACATATGTAATCTTCTCAGCCTCATTTCTTCAGAACTCTCTGACTTGGGATAATGAGGCCTCTGGGATAAAATATAGATTACTGAAGGACATAAAATCCTTAAACTGGTTCTGATCTGTCTTTCAGACTGATTTCACAATATTCCATCTCATGTTGGGTTCCTGTCAAATCCTGGTACCTGAGATTCCATCTCTCATGTCCATGTGTTAGCACAGGGTGCTTTGAGCCCTCCCCCCGCCCTTGCTTTCTCTTCTAATCTCTGCCTCTTATAATCTCTAGCTTTAATCCTGCCATGAGACATTCATAACTTTCATGATCTTCTGCCCTTTTTAGTGTTTTCCAACTTCCCAAATTATTTGGTATTTACTTTGTTTCAATTTTGTAGTTACTTCTCTGTCTCTATGTTGTCTCTCTTGCCAGTAGGATGTAAGCAGGGACTGTTTTCATTTTTGTCTTTGTAGCCCCAGGGCCTGGTGCAGAGTAGGCGCTAAGCAAAGGCTTCTTTTATTGCTTTGAGTTGCAAAGTAGAGTACCGGAGAGACAAAGTACTTTCTGAGGTCCTTTCTTGCTCAAGGCTCCGGGACAAAGTTTTGTTTGCCAAGTTCAGGTTCAGTAATAACACAGAGCTGGAATGAAGATGTCAGTACCTTTCAACCACCCTGTACTTACTAGGGGGCTGGTGTAGCTGTCAGTTTGCTTGGGAGGTGACAATGGGGCACTGGCTGTGAGAATTGTACTATTACCTTATAATTTATTTCTTCTTTTTTGAGACTATCTTGGTGATGCTTCTCCCTGTAGTACCTGGCTGCTTTGACAGGTGTGCTATTTTAGCAAGGGAGAACAAAACAGAGACAAAGAGGTAAAATACACTCTGCTCCTTTGCTGTCAGGCCTTCTGTGCTCTGTGTGCATGTGTGGATGATTTATTCGGTGCTCTTAGGGAGATTGGGTATTGTTCCTATGTTATGCTTGGGGGTCCACCTTATTCAGAGGCTTAGTCCTCTGTGATGTGATACAAAGGGTCTTCCCTGGAATATCTTCTTTCCTGATGTCGGAAACTCTACCAAAAGCAGTTTGTTTCTTTTGCTTAAGCGTTTCCTTCTCCATACGCTCTGTTAGTAGGCAAATACTTATGGTATAGGAGTTAAAGGACCTGGGTTCAAATTCCATGTCTGTGGCTTGCTACCTGTGTGACTGAGCAGTGCACTTAAATTCCCTGGACCTCAGTTTCCTCTTTTGTAAAATGAGGGGGTTGAACTAGATAGCCTCTGAGATTCCTTCCAGCTTTAGCTCTCTGGTCCTATGTATATCCTTGAACAAGTCACTTCCATTCCCTGGACCTCAGTTTCCTCCTCTGTAAAGTGAGGGGGTTGGACTAGGTGGCCTCTGGGGTCCTTTCCAGCTTTAGATGATGATGTGATCCTTTATGACCCCGGATAAGTTATTCCATCTCTCTAACATCTAAGTGTAGATTGTGTTTATCTGGTGGCATTTCCTGGAGTAGAGAATTGGGTACTGGGGTCCTAGGAGAACTGAGATTGGGAATTGGACAGTCAAGAAAAAGTATGAGAGGGAGCACTGATACTAGTTGCTTTGTAAATCTCTCATGATGTTGTCCTTAGGTGAAGTGGGTGAAAGCAAGTATCTGGCTTTGGCCTTAGGCAGTAGAAGACATTAGTGAACAGGTGCAGATTTTAAAGCATTCTTTGTATTTTGTTCTCCTTAATTTGAGGTTCCCCTCCAGTAGTGCACTTCTGAGCTGATTGTGCAAACAAGCATTTACTACCTACTGTCTGGATAATTGTACTAGGTAATTGAATAGTAGTGAGCAGAAGGATAGAAAAGAAGAAACATGCCTGGTCTCTGCTTTTTGCTGTCAGAATTTAAACTTGTAAAATAGAGTCTCAATATGTTAGCAGTAGACTAGTCAGGTTCTGACATTTAAAAAAAAATTCCAACTGGGTTCCCTCAAAGCTGCTGAGAATTCTTAGAAATACCATTTAGAGTATACCGGGTTTGAGAATGGAAGCTGCTTCTCATTTCAAAGAGGTAAATTAAACTTAAAATGTTGAAAAGGAACGCTAGGTGAACATCCTTTGAGGTTCCCCTCAGAGCTCTCCTTCTGAATTTACAACGCATTTCCGAAAGAAGCCACAGATAAGGCAACATATAGTAGTAAAGAAATAACCAAGTATCAGGTAGTGGTTCTGTACCCAAGTGCTGAATGGGTGCGCCTTGAGAGTTCATGCCAAACTCCAAATAACTGTTACATCCTTTACTTTTAAGTCTTGTAACTCACGAAACAGTTAAACAAGGAGGTTCTTTGGAAGGTAAGAATTTTGTGCTATTCTCCTTCTCTTCTGTATTACCTTGTATCTCTTTTGTATATAGCTATGATACATGCTTTCCCCAACAGAATGTAAGTTCTTTGAAGGCAGGCACTGTTTGACTTTTGTCTTTGTAGCCCTCCTGCCTAACACATTGCCTGGCACATAGCAGTTGCTTACTAAATGCTTGTGATAATTCGTTTTCTGAGCCGACAGCTGTCACCTCTGACCCTCCACTTTGCAGGAGTCTTGTCCATTTCAATAGCAATCACCCAGCCTGTCTTCCACTTTTTAGCTTCTGGCTGGGGTTAATTACTTTGGTGTTTTGGCCATCTAGTTGGGGGCCAGAATGGCGCTCCCCTTCCAGTCCACATCTGAGTCACGTCCTCGGTCTTGGCCCTCCGCCTCAGGCAGGCTGCCCAAGCTTTCGGGTGGGGTGGGGTGGCCTGGATTTGCTGTGCCGCCCACGGCAACCTTGGCCCCGCCCCTGGCCCCTTGTAGACTTTCCTTCTCCATCCCCCTTCCCCCAGGTGAGATGAGTTGGTTAAGGTATGAACTTGCTGAATCGCAAAGTGTGAAAAGAAGGTCTAAAGACACGTCGACAACATCCTGTTGATCTGGTACCTTAAAAAAGCCCAACCCCGAACTGTTCTGGGTGCTCACAGAGCCAGGGCGCTGACTCGTGCGGGGCAGTAGCAGCAGCAGCATCATATCATCATCATCATCTCACTCCCCCGGGCACCCTCTCAGCGCCTTGTGCAGGCTACCAGCTGTCTCAGCTTGTTGCCTCTGGCCATGGATTCGGTGACCGTCTACCACGGGAAGATCAGCCGAGAGACCGGGGAGAAGTTGCTGCTTGCCACGGGCCTGGACGGCAGCTACTTGCTGCGGGACAGTGAGAGCATGCCTGGCGTCTACTGCCTCTGTGTGCTGTGAGTATGGGAGGCTGTGGGGCTGGCTGGGGCAGACAGCGCAGGGAGAACCCGTGGGGGGCCCGAGGCTGGGGGGCCCGGCCACCTTGCCCCGAGGCAGGCAGGTGGGAAAAGGTGCCGGGCGACCCTGGCCAGCGGTCCGGTGCAGTCGGCTTTGGGGCACAGGTGGCCGGAAGGGATGCTGCCCATCAAAGCCCTGGAGGCCCCTGGCCCTTGGGCCTCTCTGCCCTACACCCTACAAGGCTGCAGCTTGTACTAGGCCCACCTGGTGGGGAGATTTGTGGGCGGTCCACTGGGACCCACAGGCCAGGGTGAGTCACAGGCCTGAGGACCTGGCACCTCATCCCCACTCTCAGTTTTTGAAATGAAATGTAGCTAGCAGAGCCTCAGCCAAGTCCGGGGGCTCTGTCCTGGTGAAGCCTGGGAACTTCCTTGAGGGCAACCCTTGCCCTTCTGTAGTGAATCCAGCTCTGTCACTGTCCTCTCCTTACTCCTCCCAACATCCTCAGTTCGGTGTAGAGGAATTACAATATTTTTACTAATATTTGTGCTATCTTTGTACGGCTATGCAATTGTTTTCTGTTCACCTTCTAGACTAGGCAGAGTTTTGACTGAGTTTTAGTACTTTTGCCTAGCTAAGGCAATATAGTCCAACCTCTTTATTTTAAGGGGGGGGGTTTAGAAGACTTGTCCAAAGTCATACATGTAGTAAATGGTAGAGGTGGGATTTGAACCCAGGTCCTCTGAATACAGAGCTTCTGACTTTTCCCTTGCACTACAAAGTAAATGATTTGTTGAATACCACAAAGCTGGTATCTGACAAAGTGGAGATACCAAGTCAGGCTCTCCAGTTTTACATTATGCTGTTGAACCCCTCCATCCTCCTTCGCATATTAATTGGGGGGGAAGACTCTACTTATTTGGGAAAATTGCATTATTTGTACTAATACTTACTTGTGTCCTTGGTTTATCCCCATCCTACACTGGATATTATGAGAGCAGGGGGTGGGTCTTACTTACCTTTTTTTGTTCAAGAAGTTTTACCCCCTAAAAAGCCAAAACTTTGTTTAATGATATTCCTTGGACAGATTAAAACAGAAAAACTGTTGCTTAGGAGCAAATTTAATACCTAACAACAATAAAAGTAACATATTTATGTAGCAATTTACATAATTTATCTTATTTGATTCCCATAACAACCTCAATAGCTGATGATAATTTGCTTTGTTAGAACACCAAGAAGATTTTTCTAGCCAGCCATATGCTCAGTATTCAAAGCCAAGTGTGGATGCTTCATGACTTGATAGATCTTAAAGTAGTGACAAGTACTATATAATGTATTAGTAAGTCACATTTATATACGTAAATTTAAAAGTTGAACAATTTAATGATTTTATGAATGATTTAGGGATAACTTTAATTATGCCAAATTTTTGGAGGAAAAATAGAGCAGGAGAGAAGGAAGTATTTTGAATATAAGTTACAGATGGAAAGAAGCAGTTATTAGCTTGGGTTCATGGAATTTAGAGGTGTGTAGGTTGTGGCCTTATAAAGCAAAATTAAATGATTATGAGAACTGGGAGGATACTTCTAGATCATCAGTTCAGAAATGGAGCTGAGGCATCAGTGAACAAAACTATAGAAAAATAGATAATGTTAAGAAAATAAAATAATGATATGAATACTGTTTTCTTTTTCTGCCTTTGGAGAAGATATCCTTGTCCATACTGATCTATAATTGTGTTCTCTTCAGCATCCATGCTATTCAGTTTTAATTGATCAAGTTTTAGTAGTACTTTTGCGGGCTAAGGCAGTGCAAATATAATTTTTATTGCCAAACTGAAATTCACAAAACACCTCCCAGAGTGGGACTTACGTTAAGTGAAGTGGGCCAAATCATTTCCCCTGAAATATAGGATCACAGATTTTAGAACTGGAAGAGAACTTAGAGATTTCCTCCAACTGCCCTCATTTTAAATATGTGGAAACTGGGGCCCACAGATTAAGTAACCAGCCATGGTCACACAAGTAGGAGAGCTGGGACCATTGCTCACAAAAAAATCTTCATACAATACAGCTTTGTAAACAACTAACCTACTTTTCTAGGTTTATTATGTGTTACTCTCTTTCATAGACTCAATTGTCCAGCCAAATTGTCCCTTTTATTATGACTCACACAGAAGACAGTCTCTGGAACCCATGCCTGGAGAATACTCTTTTTCTTTCCTTCACCTCTTGGAAGCCCTTGCTTTCCTTCAAAACTCACTTCAAGCAGCACCTTGTGTAGCAAGGGGTTTATTATTTTTTTTCCCTTTCTTTTTTTAATTTTTAGATTAATTTATTTTTAGTTTTCAACATTCACTTCCATGAGCTTTTGAATTTGAAATTTTCTCTCCCTCTCCCTCCCCAAGACAGCATGCAATCTGATATAGGCTCCACGTATACATTCTTAAAATATTTTCACATTAGTCATGTTGTAAAGAAGAATTAGAACCAATGTGAGGAACCATGAGAAAGAAGAAATAAAACAAAACAAGAGAGCAAATAGTAGGCTTCGAGATGCATTCAGACTCCATAGTTTTTTCTACAGATTTGGATAGCATTTTCCATCATGAGTCTTTTGGAGTTGTCTTAGATCCTTAGCAAGGGGTTTTTAACCTTTTTTTGTGTCATGGATCCCTTTGGCAGTCTGGAGAAGGTTTTTGACCCCTTTCTCAGATAAATGTCTTTAAATGCATAAAATAAAACATATACGATTACCAAGGAAAAGAATTAGATTGAAATAGTTATGAAGATATTGAAAAATAAGTTCACAGGTGCCTTCCCCCCACAATCCCCTTGTATTTATTTTCTATATACCTATGCTCTATCTCCTAATAGAATGTTAAGTGCCTTGAGGGCAGGAGCCGTTTCTTTTCTGTCTTTGTGTGGTCAGTACCTTGCACAATGCCAGGCACAGAGAGACTGGACCTGGAATTTCTGTGTTAGAGGGAACTCCAGACCTTTCTCCAGAGTTGCCCTGATCATTGAAAGAGCCAGGTCCCCATGTGTCAGAGACAAGACAAGCCCAACGCTTTCTGGTTTCCAGAGCAGCCCTCTGTCTCTCAGCTCAGGCTGCCACCTGACTGTGTTGTTAACTTCAAGGTTCTGCAGGTGCCTGAAGTATCTTCTGAGTCGATCTGAGAAAAGATGAAATGGTGTTTATTTAGTGATGTCTTAATGTTAATGTATTTTAGTATATTCCAGTTTTGAAAATTTGAACTCCATGTATGGGATTGTAGAAGGAACTTTGGATGTCTAGTCCAAATCCCTAATTTTACAGCTGAGAAAACCAAGGCCCAAAGAGGTTAAGTGATTTGCCCAAGACTACACAGGTGAGAGTCATCAGTTAACCGGAATACCATGTTCCCTGTCCATACCATATATGCAGGAATTCATTGTAAATGTTTTCAGGAAATAGGTCCAAAGAAAAGCTTACTCAGATCTTTTTTTTAAAATTTACATTTGGTGGTGGTTGTAGGGTCTAATATTTTCATTTTAGGTTGAATATCTAAATTTTTTCAAGTAGGAGCAAGAGGATGATTTTGAGAAAGGTACAGATGGCTCTTGACAGAGAGACATGAAGGATACAGAGTTGGTGCTACGAGGTGTAGGATGAGATGTAAAGAACAGGAGTCTGATGGTGGGGCTGATTTGAGGAAAATCACAGAGAGAAAACATTGCCAGAGATGATGGGGACTTAACCGAGGACATAAAAGGAGTCTGAGCTGGAAGAACGAGAGAGTAGGGATGGCAATGTGTGATGAGGCAGCCAGTGAAAATTCTCACATCTTTTGCGCTCACACCTGTCGCTGGTTCTGAACTCTGTGGTGGAATGCAAAGATGTCTGGATTAAGAACTGATTAGCCTTGGGTTTTCCCCCTAACTCTCTGTGTGATCCTTACCCTGATTCTGAGGCAGCTGAGTAGTATAGTGAATAGAGCTGTAGTCTTGGAGTTAAGAAGGTCTCAGTTCAAAATTGGTCTCCGACATTTCCTAACTGTGTGACCCTGGTCAAGTCTTTTAACTTCTGTCTGCCTCAATTTCCTCAACTGTAAAATGAGGATAATAATAGCACCTACCTCCAATTTGTGAGGATCGATTAAGATATTTGTAAAGTGTTTAGCATAGTGCCTGACACTTAGTAGGCACTTAATAAATGCTTGTTCCCCTCTTTTCTCCCCTTTCCCCCGAAAAGTTAAGTCTCCCTAGGCTTAAGTATTCTCATCTGTGAAATGAAGACAACAATATCTGCTTTATCTTCTACTGATATTGTGGGAAGTAATCCTCAGCAATTAAATTCAACAAACATTTATTAAGCTTCACTTAAGTGCAAGGCATTGTACAAAGAAATAAATCATAATTACCTTGAAAGGCAGCTCAGTTACCTAGCTGATAGAGCTAGATTTTCGTGTTTTCTAGATAGATGCCTTTTGGTGTAGTAGTACATGGAGAGCTGGCCCTACAGTCAGGAAGACCTAGTTGCAGAGGCCCCACTTCTGACATATACTGGCTGTGATTCTGGGCAACCTCTAAGGCTATAAGTTGCAGAGAAAGTGCTGACCTGCATTGTTTACTGACTAGGGAGTTCCCTATACCAGAGAAATCATAGCTCTGGTCCCTCTCCTTATCCCTAATAATAATAGCTAAGCCTTACATAAGGCCTTGGAAGCCCTTTACACATATTATGGGGAAAAACACCCTAGCTTTGACCCTGTCCTAAAGGACAGGAGCTAACAAATTGATGTCTGTGGAGTGTTAGGAGCGAATGAGACAGATGCATAATAGCCAATTTCTAACTTGTATTATAGTTAAGTTCATAGCAGAAGTCAAACAGTAACATCAGAGATTCAAGTGAAAGGGAGAGATCCGTTTTTAGCTTGGGAAATTGGTGAAAGCATTTGGGAGAAGTCAGCAGCTGAGCTGGGTCTTAGAAAAGAATTTGAATTAACAATTGAGAT